ATGCTTTCAATTGTGTAATTTAAGTGATCTAGTAGCTCTGCTTTGGAAGTTCAGTTCATGCTAGAAATGTGTTTTGGAGTTTGTACGTGCTTTGTCTCTAGGGGCCACCGCATATATTTATATATAAACATATTTAAATAAAACCACTTTTTTTTTACGTTAGTAATTTCTTTTGTGCATAATTTTATATTATTGTTAATAATAAATTAATTAAAGCAACAAAACAACCCGAAGAACCGGTTCGGAGCCTCTTTTTAGTGAGCCGAACCGAAAGAGCCGGATCTCTAAAAAGAGCCGGAAATCCCATCACTAGCTTACACATTTCCTGAATGCTTCAAAAATCCAAGCTAAATAATCCCTTAGAAAAAGGAAAGATCTCCTAAACACATCACTGTGTCTTTTTCTTTTATTCTTATTTAAGTAGACTTTGCTGATCTCTTTAATACTACATCAATTACATTTTTTGTTTTTTTGTTTTTTACATAAGCCAAAAATGAGGACATGTATCTTTTGCTGGGTTTTTCTTTGCATCCTGTTGTATTCAGGTAATGTATATTTAACATACTTGTAACAACTTGTAAAAGTTTTCATCAAGATCTCATGGCATTACTAATACTACAGTATTGATGGTTTTTCATATGCTAAGACCTACATAAATCTTAAGCACTTGCTAACATGATTTCTTTGATAACTATGCTGTATAATTATGTGCTTACATTTCTACTCTAGGTAATGGGATTGGACTCCACACTGCAAATTGTGTCTATTTTAGAACAGCCTCTTATATAAGCATTATGTCTAAAAGATATGTAAAAAAGAAAAGAAAAGAAACTGACATGATATTGTTTTAAATCTGTTGGGTTTATATTACCATGCACCCACTTCGGATGCTACCAGTCAATACATTGGGTGTTATTATCAGAAATCATTTCCATAGATATGGGCCAGGAGGGACCTTCTCTACCTCCTAGTTTGTTCAGAAGGTTGTTCTCATCCATCCAGATGGAGGATCACTAACAGGAGCGTGGAAGACTCCAGAATCCACTCTGGCTGGAATCCGGTGGATATGCAGTGTGTACAGGTAAGACCATTTAAACGGACAGCATTTATAGAATGACTATTAAAAGTCAGCAAATGTCAGTAATGTTAATGTGGTTATCTTAGTAATACACAGAGTGCTAATATAACAGCTTTAAGATGCATTTGTAGATATTATTACGTGTTTTACCGTCTTTATGGTGCTAGCTTAAAGTTACGGTGTAAACGTTAGCTTATATTGTAGTAAAGCTGTTACTGTTTAAACGATGTTAGCACAGAAATATTAGCTTCTGTCATGACTGATGAAGTTACTAGTTAATAAAGTTTCCAGTAAAGTGTTTAATCGCAGCCAGATCGCAGAATCGCAGAATCAGGATTGAGTCAGGCTGCATCAGCTGAATCTGTTATTTGTAAATATCAGTATGTTTTATTCAGGTGTGGAGAAAATACATAAGAGTGCAGTGAAGCGACATACCAGATTAATCCCTGGCCAAAGGTATCGTACTTAAATCAGACTACTGATCCAGCCACATCAGCCTGTTGTGAGGTCTGTTTAAAGTAGATTAAAAATGAACTGCAGGTTCCTGAGAGGTGGACTGTGAGCACAGAAACACATGTTCATACATACAGCTGCAGCATATGGAACGCCAGGACTGACATAATGAATTAATTAAATACACATACATAATTAAATTAATATTTTTGACACATTTAATTAATTATTGGAACATTTAATTAATTGTTGCCACATTTACATAATTAATTAATGTGTATTTAATTAATAAATTTTGGCACACTTGACTCCTTCAGGTCTCACCATGAAATAATTTTATCTGTCAACCTCACCGATCAAACTCAGGGGGCGGGGTTAACACTGATCGAGTCAAAACCATTGCTTTGGCCTGGTGGGGCATCGTTTTTAGAAGGCATTTCTGCACACAAACAACCGGCATGTGGAAACTAACTGAACTGTACTTTGAAAAACCCTGTTTGTGTGTCACCAAATATAGTTTTAATATTTTTTAGCCGAGAATGTAGTGGTTTAATCTTCAGATATCTGGTCGGTTTGTCAAGATAGAGCCTCTTTAGAAAAGTGCGTCGATGATTTCCGAGATGTCTGCCCAGCTCAGTGTCGCAGCAAAGCATGGGATAGACCCGCTCGCAGACACAGACCTTCAAAGTAAAACAGGAAATTCACAAACACAAACTCAGAGAGACAGACAAAGCACCAGGGTAACGACACAGGAAATAAACCTAGAACTGGAAACCCTGACAATAAAACCTACATACTTATAAAGATAACCATGAAGAAATTAAACATCAGATCAGCTAATAATAATAAACACAATGCCAAACACAAAACGCTGGGTCAACGACCCAGCACCATGACAAAACCATTTGAGCTCCTCTTTAGTTTACACATGATCTGAACTGATCTGATGCCGTATGCAACCAAGGTAAGCCATCCCTGTGTTAGTAATGCCCAGTGTTTATCTGATAAACATAAAGGAATGTGCAGCAATGAACGTTAGAAACTGGTCCAACCGGAGTGTCTGTTTTGCAGTAACTGGTTGATACTTGTCTCAGTTTTTGTTTCCTGCTCGGCTCCAGTGACTCATTTCACTTTAACAGCGACACTTTGGATTAGTTTGGATCACTGT